GAGGAGGAGGGGGATGAGGATGAAGGCGTGGAGTTCGGGACGCTGTCTGACAAGTTTTCTTCCAGAAAATATTATCGCAAAACCACGTCGCACTTTCAGAATTTAAAGCTTCACGAAGGAGAAGAAGAAGAACCAGAGGGGAAACCCCGGCGCCGGCCCCGGAACACCCCGCGCTGGTACTTCCTGCGCTGCAAAGGCCTCCTCAGGGAGGACAAGGTCTGGCCCGGGGCTCCTGTGCTTGGGTCTGAGCAGCGGGGGTGAAAGAGGCAGCTCTGGCCCGTGCACGTTTACCTGCAAAGACATTTTGCTGAGAGTATTTACAGAAAGATGCAAAATAAGGATGTGTGAGGGATCCCTTGCTCTGTAGGACTTCAGCACAACCCGCCCACAGCTGTGTGTGTTAATTTGCATTGTACTCCGTTTTCTTGCTGCCTCATTGGGGATTTTTCCTCTTCCCTGCAGCTGGCAGAGGCTCTGGAGCTGTTTGTTAAAGGATGAGCGTGTGCAGCCAGAGGAAAGCAACTACACTGTCCTGATAGGTGGCTGTGGCCGGGCTGGCTACGTCAAGAAGGCTTTCAGGCTCTACAATGATGTAGGTTGTTCTCTCCTCTCTCAAACCTCCATGACATTTTCAAGGCTAAAGCTGTTTAAACCTTACTTGGCCTCCCAAATGCTTTTGATTCAGTGTTTGCACCCTCTTCGCCTCAAACTCCTCACAACACGTTGTGGGATTCTAAAAGCCCTTTCCGAAATAGCCAGTTCCAATTCTTCTTTTCTCCCCTCAGATGAAAAAACGAGGCTTGGTGCCCACCGAGGCCACCTACACGGCCCTGTTCAACGCCTGTGCCGAGTCGCCGTGGAAGGACTCGGGGCTGCAGAGCGCCCTCAAGCTGCGGCAGCAGCTGCAGAGCAAGGACCAGGAGCTGAACCTCATCACCTACCACGCTTTGCTGAAGGTCTGTGCCCTCTGCGCCGACCTCAGGATGTGCTTGGATGTGCTGAAGGTAAAGACCTGACTTTTTTGTGAGCAATGGCAGGACTCGGGGAAATGGCAGGAAGCTGAGTCAGGAGGTTTGGGTTTGGTATCAGGAAAAGGTTTTTCATCTGGAGGGTATTGAGCACTGGAACAAGCTCCCCAGGGAAGTGGTCAGAGCACCAAGTCTGCCTGGGTTCAAGAAGCATTTGGATGGTGCTCTCAGGCACATGGTGTGATTCTTGGGGTGCCCTACACAGGGACAGGAGTTGGGCTCCATGATTCTGATGAGTCCCTTCCAACTCAGCATGTTCTGTGATTCTATGATTTTCTTCTCTCAGGTGTGTTTCATGGGTTCACCATTCCTGTTTGTCTCCATCCCTCATTTTGAAGACCTGTAGATCTAGTTCCTTTGGGACCTCTCACTGCAGCTTTTCTCACAAGGGACACTCTGGGAGCAGCTAAAAAGATTGCTGCTCCTGCCCCCAAATTCCCTGTAGGTCCTGTAGGGGAGAATCCAGGACCTGCAGAGGCATTTTGGGGCTCCTGAAGCAAATGCTGGGATTTCACCCCATGCTTTGCTGCTACTGCAGAAGACAACAGCTGTATTTGAGCTTCACAGCCAGCTGCCAACGGGGAAGTTTAATGCTCTCTCTGCTCTTACAGGAAATTGTACAGAAGGGCCATGTTCCCACAGTAGAGACCTTCAGCTTCCTCCTCATGAGTTGCATAAAGGACAGAGACTGTGGTTTCCGACATGCCTTGCAGGTTTGTCTGCATGATCTGAGCAGGGAGAGAAAAGGGCTTCTGTGTTGTAACTCAGTACTTGACCACCTGGAAGACAGCAGGTTGCTCAGAGCTGATGGAACAGAAGGTCTGTGAACTTGACTTCCATCAGAACATCTCGTACACTCACAAACGTCCCTGATGTGTACTAGTTTGAGGCAGCTGCTTGTTGTCCAGTGGCATCTCACCTCCTTGTGCTGTGAACTTGCTCCTTTTCTGCCTTAAGTCACCAAATAATAACCTGGAGCTCCTGGAGAGAGTCCAGAGGAGGCCAGGAAGATGATCGCAGGGCTGGAGCAGCTCTCATATAAAGATAAGCTGAGAGAGTTGCAGTGTTCAGCCTGGAGAAGAGACGCTCCAGGGAGACCTTAGAGCACTTTCCAGTGCCTGAAGGTGCTGCAGGAAAACTGGGAAGGGACTTGGGACAAGGGCAGGGAGTGAGAGAACAAAGGGAAATGGATTGAAGCTGGAAGAGGGGAAGATTTAGGTGAGATATTAGGAAGAAACTCTTCATTATGAGAGTGGTAAGACACTGGCCCAGGTTGCCCAGAGAAGCTGTGGCTGCCCCATCCCTGGCAGTGTTGAAGGGCAGGTTGGATGGGGCTTGGAGCAACCTGGGCTGGTGGGAGGTGTCCCTGCCCATGCAGGGGAGTTGGAACTAGATGGTCTCTAAGGTCCCTTCCAATCCAAACCAGTCTGGGATTCTATAATAACAGGGCAGGTAGATACAGTCTGAAATGCTCCTGTTATTTAAGGTCACCCACACCTGGTGTTCATCTTCCTCTCCTCAGGTCTGGAAACAAATGACCACACTAGGGATAAGGGCTGACAGCCACATCTACAACCTGCTGCTTCGTGCTGCCAGGGACTGCGGGGTGGGGGACCCGGCCGTGGCGTCCCAGCTCCTGCTCACACCCCCCCAGCAGCACCCACCTCAGCTCAGGCTGCCACCCGGGAGGCAGAAAGGAAAAAGGCAGATGAAGAAGGGAGCAGAGAGCACAGCTGCTGTCCAGCTGGATGTGGAAGCTATGGAAAAGCAGTTATTTCTGGAGAGTTCAGTGCAGCCTGAGGAGCTGATCCAGCAACAAAACAAAGATGTGAATTGGGCCAACGCAGAACCAGCTGCTCTGGACAACCCCAGCACAGCTCCCAGCAGAATGGCAGCATTGGTGAGGAGAGGCTGGAACGAAATGGAGCAGGAACAAGCATGCCCCAGCCAGGAGCAGCACTTCTGCAAGCTGCCCAACCTCCTGGATTCTGGGATGCCCAACGCAGCCGTGGTTTCCCTGGGGTCAGTGGCCAGGCCATCTGACAGACTGGCTTTGATGGGGGACGTGGAAGGCTTCCTGAGGAGAATGAAAGAGGACAATGCAGAACCCAACATTAAAACATTCACGTTGCTGGCTGAGCTGGTAGAGCCCCAGAGCCCCTCTGAGTCCTCTTTGCTGGCACTCCTGGATAAGCATAAAGTGAATGTAGATGTGACCTTCTTTAACACTTTAATAAGGAAGAAGAGTAAACGAGGAGATCTGGAAGGAGCAAAGGTGAGGAAAAACACAGAACCACCCTGTTACCTCCTTGTTTCAGGCCTCAGTTACCTGTTTGGCTGTGAGACCCATTTCTCTATCCACAGTAGAAACTGGGAACCTCACACTGGTTTCCACAAGACCAGGTTGATTTCTGAGTCGTTCTGGATTCTGTTTCATCTCCTCCAGCTCTGCCTGGAAAGCTGCAAGGAGACTCGTTCCAAGCTGATCCAACACTTGTGTCTTGCAGAGCTTGCTGCCAGCTCTGGTGAAGAGGGGACTGTCACCCAACCTCCAGACCTTCTGTAGCTTGGCCATCGCCTGCCACCAGGAGAAGGAGGGGCTGCAGTTACTGGCAGATCTGAAGGTAAGGAGCTCTGCAGGGTTGGGTCTGAAGGAAGAGCAAAGTGAAGCCCTTCTGAAAAGCCCTGCTGAGGTGTCGGTGTTCTCACTGCAAACCCCTGGTGCTGGTTGTTTGCAGAGGTCTGGAGTTACTCCCAACAAGTACATCTACAGCACGCTGATCGCCGGTGCTGTCCGGCAGCTGGATTACCGCTACCTGACCCAGATCCTGAGGGACATGAGGAGCAACCAGGTGCCTCCCAACGAAGTCATCATCCGCCAGCTGGAGTTTGCAGCACAGTACCCTCCCAAATTTGACAGGGTGAGTAGCCACGCCTGGTCGGGTGTGAGGGCATCCTGAAGGACACCAGCAGGGAGGGGCAGGACATCTGCCTAAGCCTTTTTCCTGGGGGTTTCTCTGATCCAGCTGAGTGATTCTGAGCTGATTCTTTAGTTGCAGCTGGTAGCTGTCGTGTGCTGGTACTGAAGTGAGATCTCTTCTAACAGAAACTTGGGGTTTCTTTGGATTTGTGTTTGCAGTACAAGTCAAAGAACATATACCTGGAGAAAATCGATGGTTTCCGTGGCTACTACTACCGGTGGTTGAAAGTGATGGCAGGAGAGGAGACTCCCCACCCCTGGGCAAAGTACAGAACGGTGAAAGGTGGGGCAGGTGACAGGGGGGATGAGGCTGAGCAAGAGGAGAAGGAGCTGTGAGGAGGAGGACACTGAAGTTCCGCATCTCCCCTGTGCTGGAAGAACTTGGAACTTGCTCCTTTAAACTGCCCTTACAGTAAAGCTGCTTTGTATTTCCATGATTTCTGGTGGTAGCTACATAATAAAATATTTATCCTTTGTCTTAAGGAAATACATTTCCAGGGAATTTCTGTAAACTGCAGAGGATTGGGCAGGCTCTGGTTGAACAACCCCTGGGTTAAACAAGGGAGAAGTAAATCAGATCTGATGGTGGTTTAGCTCAATGCTGGTTTGTCTCTTTCCTTGTTCTATCTGGACACTTCAGTGTGACTGGTCAGTCTCTTATGGACTGCTGGCATTCCAGAATGGATCTGCATGCCAATTCCAGGTTACAAACCTTAGCAGAGAGCTCTGGTGTCATTTAGCTTCTTGCTACATAAGATCAGGGAAGAGATTAAATCAGACTGGATGTTTGAGAACTCATTTCCTTTCCACACAGGTTTTTAAATTCAGTTTGTTAAGAAAGAGAGAGAAGAGCTGCTGAAAAACAACCTCCCAGGAAACAGAGCAACCTCCAACCTCCCAAAGAACATCCCACAGGAGAAGGGGGCATGGAAATGCTTTCCCAGAGGATGGCACCACTCCCTCAGGAGGGCAGAGTTTATTTTAAAATAAATGGCTACACAAAAGTTACTCCAACCCCCCCTCCACTACACACACAATCCCAATGAATACACTGCTGGTTTAACTGCAGCACAGAAAGACCTGATCCCACAGGAGGTGGCTGGAAGGGCAGGAAGAGTCTGCTGCGCAGGATAAGATCCCTCAGAATTCCCAGGATGGGGGCCGGTGGCTTCAGCCTGAGCAGCCTCTGCATCCACAGTGTGTGCACTCAATGATCCTCCCCTGGAAAGAGAGACAGGAGGAGAGGACCTCAGGGCCATGTGGGGAGCAGGGAGCAGCACCCACCAGGCCTCCAGGTCTGGGGGAGGGCTCTACTGTCTTATTTTCTTTGGGTTGTAACAACTGTAAACAACTGCACACCAAAGCCAACTAGCTTTATAACCAACTCGATACCAACTCGAGCAGCCAAGACAGAAAATGTCAGAACTGGGGAAATGACCCAAAAAGCACAGCATCACCTGCTCTGCTGACCTGGGAGGAGCTGGACCATGTCCAGACACACAGAGGAAGGCAGTGACAGTCCCTTACCACTTCCAGCTTGCTCTTGGGGACCCTGCAGATGCAGTTGGTGCCAAAGTTGGTGTCCCGTGTCTGGATGCAGCGCAGGCAGCAGAGGTTCTCATAGCCCTGCTTCTTCCACTTGGCAATCAGGTTCTTGTCAGCATATCCTTCCTTGATGCAGTACTCATAGAGCTCTGGAGAAGAGCAGACACACCAGGAGACTCATGTCAGGAGTTACTGGCTGTAGTAACTAGCAGTTGAAGCCAAGCAGCCAGCAATCTTTCTCCCACCACTCTCCCTCCCCACCAAGGAGCAGTCCAGGCACACCCCAGGACAACATCTCCCTCCCTTCTTTGTTCCCCTGCCTTGGATAAAGTGTTTGTGCTCCTCACCTCTGCTGATGGCTTTTCTCTTATAGAAGAGATCAAAGATGTAACGTGTTTTCTGATGATGAATCCTGAAGATGGGCCAGAGGGATTCCACCTTCCTCTTCCCTTCGTGTGGCTCCGTCTCCGCTGGAACACAAACACCAGCTTTCACCTCACCAGCTTATTTCCTTACTCACTTAGAGATAAGACCAAACGTAATGGGAGAAGATTCAAAGAAAGAGGACCTGCTCTGCAACAGCTCCTTTAAGGAAGGAAAACAGGAAAAGAAAGACATGGGGATGATGTGATCCAGGCTGGGATGGAAGGTGACCTCATGGCTCGTCAGACCAGAGCGACAGCACGGACAGGAAGGGCCAGTGTGTCTGTGCACCAGAATGAGCTCCAGGCCTGGCCTTGGAGTGCCCTGAACTGTTCACCAAGCTGAGGGGTTGCTGGTGTCAGGGCCACGTCCCTGCAGACCCCAGCTGTACTGCTCACCTTCTCTCATCTTCTGATCCAGCTCATCCAGCGTCGGCTCGATCAGCTCCCAGCCATCCGGGGGAGGCTTCCGGCTCCGCTTCACCTTGGGCATCCTGCTGGAAACCAGGCAGGGCAGGGGGCTTGTCTGGGCTCAGGGATGTGGGGGCTTCAGGCCTCACAACTCTGGGAAGGAAACAAAAGAGTTAAAGATATTTATCTGAATTTTTCTGTGCCCCTTTGCCATTTCTTAGAACCCCAGGTTGGTTTGGATTGGAAGGGACCTTAAAGGTTATCCAGTTCCAACCCCCTGCATGGGCAGGGACACCTCCCACCAGCCCAGGTTGCTCCAAGCCCCATCCAACCTGCCCTTCAACACTGCCAGGGATGGGGCAGCCACAGCTTCTCTGGGCAACCTGTTCCAGGCTCTCACCACCCTCACACCAAAGAATTTCCTCCTCATGTCCAACCTCAATCTCCCTCTGCTTCCTGCAGCCCCTTCAGGCACTGGAAGCTGCTCTAAGGTCTCCTTGGAGCCTTCTCTTCTCCGGGCTGAACACCCCAACTCTCCCAGCCTCTCTGCAGAGCTGAGCTGCCCCAGCTTCTGTGCATCTTCGTGGCCTGCTCTGGACTTGCTCCAAGAGCTCCATGTCCTTCTTGTGTTGGGAAATCCAGCACTGGCCATAGCGCTGCAAGGGCGAAGGAGAGCGGAACAGAGGGGGTGAAACCCCCTCCTTCAACCCGCCGGTCACGCTTTTGTTGCACTTCCTTCACTTCAACGATAAAAACGAGCTCGTGACGGACGCAGGGTGCGGCCCCGCGATGCCGCTGCAGCTGCTTCACC